TTAATAGAAGAAAATAAGAACAACCCCGGGTTTCTTTTCAGCTCTGTAGCCAGGCTGACTGAGAGTCACAGCTAGCCTGAGTGTCAGACTGAAGCTCCCAGAACCTTCAGTCTGACATCGCCTCCATTGAAGGCGATTTACAAGGGGGAGGGAATTTGATTTTTCCCTAACCAATCAGTAGAGATCAACGACTCACCCAGAATCTGACGTCATTAGTATCCATGCCTCGGGGGTGCCGAAAACAAGCGAGCATTGCCCGTTTAAAATGTCTCCGTCATCGTGCACGCCCAGCTGCATCGCCGTTAAATCCAGTTTAGCAGCTTCCTTAATTTGGTCCTCCATTAACACGAGTAGTGGCGAAATACCTCGATAGCATCGTTAATGTGGTCTGTAGGATCTGCAGCGGTCGCCATTAGCGTGGCGCTGATTGGCTAATCGCTAGACCTGCTCCCACCCCCGGCGTTCATTGGTCCGTCCATCGCTTGGACGAGATAAATTGCAAATTCATTACAGTATGCCAGACCAGAGATGCAAGCCTACTCAGTTGAGTGGGCGGGGTCTATGGTCTGGAACCAGGCTAGCACCAGGCTGGCACTGACACTACTAAAATAACTGAAAAGGAAAGGCTGCATTGTTTGTTAAATGTCAACAATGTCTTGTGGTGTTAATCTATTTTTTATTTATTAAGGGGCCAAAGCACAAGTGTGTGGAGTCTTGCTGCTATTTTAATTTCAATGTTAGACATTTTAAAGATTTCTTGTGTTGATTCATTTTCTATTTATTAAGGGGCCAAAGCAGCCAAAGCAAACCAGCTATATTTTTTATTTAATGTTAATGTTCAAGTTTAAAATTTGTTTATTTAACCCTGTTAACAATAAACAGGTCAGTTTCTCATACCAACTGTTGTGGATCATTCTAACTAACCTGATTAAGTAGTTGTTCTTTGCTTGATCAAACCTTTTCTAACATGACTGACAACAGAATAAGTGAATATGTATAATACGTGCCTGGATCGGATCGGTATCGGCCAAAACTCAAGGCTGTAATATCGGTATCGGATCGGAAGTGAAAAAGCTGGATCGGGACATCCCTACCGACGGAAGTGCAAGCTTGCCTGGTGCCGTGTAAATAACAGCATACTGTATCAAGACAGCGGAAATCATTGCAAGATTTCTACATTTTAGATTTCTACAATTTACTGCTGCTGACTGGACCCTGGCCTACTGTCATTTTGCAGAAGTAGCTCTTGGGTAATGCAAGTTAAGTATCCCTGATTTAGACATTTAAGATTAAAGTAAGCAATCCACAGATATTGAACATCATATATCTTTTTTTGTAAAATGCGTAGTGTAACTGGTAACACCGGTGTTGTCACAAATTTATCAAGTGGTAGGAAAATGTCTTCACCATGGCATCCCTAGTATTGGCCCTGGAAAAAAAAACATATCAGTTGACCCCTAATACTCACCCTGAATAACGTGATTCACTTTTCTATCAACCACATTAACTAACTGCTGGAATTATTATAATCAGTTACAGAAATGCAATACTGTATCAAACAGAATTGGAGAACACTGCATTGCAGGGTTCCTACACATTTGGAATTTCAAAATTCCATACTTTTCCATACCCTAATTTCCACACTTCTCTTTTTTGTTTGTTTTTTCCCCCTTTTTTAGAGAATATGCGACATCTGAGTAAATATATCAGCGTATCATATTTCACATCATATTTAATTATTCTTAATAGGCGATTGTAACCAAGTACCATAATGGCATGCAAATAAAAACTCAGGTAAGTTCAATGTTTGGGCTGAGGCAAAAAGGTTGGGACTCTCTGTGCAAGCGATGCAGTAACGAGACGTCTGGGTTTTTTCCTTTCATGTGGCTCAGAATCACCTTGTCCCCCATGTTGGCGATGCAGGGTTCAACGCTAAGGTTTTTTTTTCACTTGCCCAGTCGGGCAAGTTGGTCAGAGATCTACTTGCCTGAAGTGAGTTTTTACTTGCCCTGTAAAAACTGTTTAATTTAAGCGGCTATCAAATAACAAAGACTGCAGTTATTTTTATGTTATGTAATCTTTATTCACACTGTATTTATTAATTAAAACAACATATGTCATGTATTGTAGCTTAATTCCTACACAAAAATGACAGTGTCAGGGCTTAAAGTGAAAAATTTGTCAATCGTTCTCCGTCTATAATTTTGCGCCCTACTTGAGCCATGCCCACCTCTATTTATTTTTCACCCCTCTCTCCAGTTCTGCTGTATTAACACCGGGTTTAATATATTTTGCTTCCATCTCTCTGCCCTGCTCTACTCTACTTCAACGCTACTTAGCTCTCTCTCTACTCTACCAGTAGACTACCACATCCACCTGTTGCACAAAACGCACACAGCAGTGTTTCCCCTAGGATGGAGTTGTAGCAGCGGAGGTGAAGCACACGCATGAAAAATAATTTTCACATGCGTGAAACTTTTTTGTATGCTTGCAAAGCACAGCCTGCTGGGATGTTTCTGTGTATCTACTGGCACCAGAAGGGCTCTTTAGGACTAAGTACATACAGTACATTTGTGCACAGTAATGAGCAGGTGAAATGTCTGTCTAGCTTACATACGAGGTGTCTCAAGATTTAGGAAAATAAAATTTTATTGAATATAATAAAAGTAAAAAGTCACTTGACATGCTGCTGTTTTGTGTTATGACCTATTTAAATGCTGGAAGTTGTTATTTACGTGACAACGCCTGAACGCAACACAAGCTCAGCACCAAGAGTGCCGTGCTGCGCTGCTGTGCGAGCAGCGTGTTTGTTTGTGCGTTTGTTGCTAGTAATTTACACAGTGTCCATAACAATAACTTTGTCAGCTGACAAACTGCACCGGGCTCGGGGTCAGGTTTGGTCATGAAAATGTGGCCCGAGCCACTCTAGCGTGCTCACCTGTGTGTGTGGCGGAACTCCGCCGTGCGCGATACAGAGAGCAGAGGAGAATTGTTAACGCGTGACCATGTAGAGACAGAAATGACACGATGACATAACACCATAAATAGTAGGCCTATATTGTTATGTTATTATATGAAGCGTCCATCGCGCAAAATAATATGTCTTTAGTTTATGTAGAGGTAAGACAGAGCTCTCTCCTCTCCTCTACATAGTGCAGCATGTAGCAGACTGGTCATACCACTTGTCAATCAGGTAAAAGGGGTGGTATGTTTTCTGAGACGTTTGCTCTCACACAAAATGTGCCTGGCCCGGCATAAAACACAATCCGGATTGATTAAATTATTTTTGGAAATACCTAATTTTCTATTTTAGAAAACAGTATTTTAGAACAGTGGTAATAGTCTGGAAACATAAATATTTTTCCATACTTTATTTTTCATTTTCCATACTTTTTAATGCCTGGAAATTGATCAAATTTATTTCCATACTTTTCCATACTTTCCATACTTGCGTAGGAACCCTGGCATTGGCATATTTTGAACAAAATCCTTTGATACTGTGCATATTTCACAGTGACACATGACCGTACTAGGAGCAAAAGACCCACAGACTGCACTGGAGATGATAGATGCATTTCCATCCACCTGCTTTCATGCACATTTTCAATTTACACATTAAAAAATGCTTGAATAGAAACACTAAACATCTGAAAAAAATCTTAAAGTATCCCAAAAACGTATTTATGTGTGGGGGAGTTGGAAATGATGGTGTATCAATAAAAGGTAAATGTGAGTGCAATGGAAACAGATTCAGTGAAGAAATAATGATGTAACGTTACCGTCATTTTATAGGCCACTGCAAGCTCTCTTTGACATCTCTAGAAGCTTTAAATAGCTTACGTCTGCACACAGGGCTGTTAAGAGAATTCTTCAGAGAGCACACAACTGTAAGAGAAGTTGTTTAAAACTCTCTATTTCCACTGTCCAGTGTGCTCTATGTTACTATACATCCATTGTTTTCCTTCATTTGAAGTTTGACTGGCATTCTTCAAATTACATCATCTTGGGGCGTCGGTGGCTTAGCGGAAGAGCAGGCGCCCCATGTACAAGGCTGTTGCCGCAGCGGCCCAGGTTCGACTCCAGTCTGTGGCCCTTTGCTGCATGTCACTCCCTCTCTCTCTCCCCCTTTCACGCTTGTCTATCCATTAAAGGCCAAAATGCCCCAAAAAATATCTTTAAAAAAAAAATAAAAAATTACATCATCTTGTTGCGCCTTGTTCTTCTCTGGCATCTGACCAGAGAATTGGCCCCACTCACTGCTTATCTCAATCAACCAACTCCCAATATTTGCACAACAGTAGTTGATTGCCATTTTTCTTTGTTGATTTTCTGAACATTTGGTTAAAATTTACACTACATTTGAATGGAAACCTTAACAACAATAATAATAATAATAATTTTTGATTGTGGGCAATAAAGGTAGAATTGTGTTTCTTAAAGAGGCCTCATAAGCTTAAATGTGATGTCTTATCTCCAGGAGTACAAACTACTACACGAGAAGAGACGCAAGATTAAACAGCAAGGATGCACTGATAGGGATATGGAAAGAACCCACAGAGTAGACAAGCTCACAACCTTAGTCTGACTTCTGAAATATACTGTGGTTATTGTTGTAATAACACAGAGGAAACTGGAATAACTGGCTGCTATATTTATTTATTACCTTGAGCTGATTCATCTGTGTGAGGACTTAATAGAAAGGAATAATAGTGGCCTGGAGCTTCAGACAGCGTGCTGAACATAAGTCAGTGTACAGGATATGCAATGCATACTTTTTAGCCTGGGAAATGTAACGTTACCACAGATGAGCAAAGCTGTTAATAAAGGTAAACAGTCATGTGTTATAATTCTGAGAAACAGTTTACCTTAGTCTTCTTGTAGTCACAGAGGAATTCCACATCATACTCATTGATGTTGGCTCTGTTCACCCCAAGCTCTTTACAGTGCAGCCTCTCTCTGCGACATAGGGCTTCCAGTTCATCCCAGGACATCTTCCAAGGCACGCTGCAATCTGCTGCAACACAGCAACTCACTGAAGTTAGTCTCCAATGCAGTGACGCTAGACCAAACTCCACTTAAAAGTTAATCGATTTAAACTGCCACTTCTCACTGCTGGAGGTGCAAAGCGATATCACATGACTATTAATATTGTGTGGATACGTATTTTAATTCGGCGTATATATAACCCCATGAAAAGTGCTTTATTTCAATAAAATCTCATTTTAAATCTGATAACTCCACTTTTTTACCGCCAACAGGGTAGCTACTTCAGAGACAGTCGAGCGCACGTTAAAAACAGAGCCTTAATAAAAACTATGTGGTGCTTAGTACATTAACAGTTGTGTAACTGACCAGAAAACATTTGCCTTTTTAATGTTCAACTATACTTTCTAATTTGTGACGCTTCCTAATTGACTCTTGTTTTTAGAGGAAAACATAACTGACTATACGTCCCTACACAAGGAAAGTGAGGCTCGAATCAATCTTTGTGCTTAGAATCGTCGCGTACATAAATATTACTGGAGAATCAGTTCTTAGCCAAACTCAAACACAACTCCATTTAAACAGTGGCGCTGCATGGTGCGTGAAGCTGAACGTTATCGACAACAGTATTACCCGCTAAACCACGCAGCCAGTCCATTACGTGTAAAGTGCTTTACTAACTCATTAATTTGTCCTTTCAACAATAGATATTATATTTCTAAGTCTAGTCAAAGTTAATCTGAATTCACTGGTTGAATATTTCGTCACAGAGTCTGTATTAAACTGCTCAAGTATTTCGGACGCCTAACGTAACTTGGTTTCCTAGAGTCGACATAATGTACAATCCCACCAATTCCATTCACGTTATATGACCTCGGGGATAGGAAGAACATGCATATTTGAAGTATTCGAGGGATTTGCGCTTAAACCCGGCCAAATAACAACAGTTAAAAAGCACAAAATGTAATGTAAAATCAAATGTAGTCCTCATTAGTTACCTTTCAAATTTTCCGCCATGTTTTCCCCACAGCCGCCAAAATCGGACAAACTACATCGGTGGGGAGGACCCTGCTGCTGGGTGGACTGTAGCGACTGCTGATTGGATGAGCATCATCTGTCAGCCCTCTCATTGGTTCAGATGTAGTCAGGAGGGTCGGCCAGAAGACTATATAGGGAACGTGAAGTGACGTCACGACGTATAAGACCATGGATATATATACGTAGATGCCGCATTCAACGGCACTCCTCATTGGAACGATACGCCAACGCGGTCGCCATCTTGCCCAGGTGGCGTCGCGCTGCCTAATGCATATATGCCTATTGAGGCAGGAGATTATTTATGATTAAAATCATCATTACTCGCTGAATTCTCAACCGATTTTCATGCGGTTTGCTTTGTTACAATTGTCAGACATGGTTATGATACAGGATACTTGGTTAAATAAAAAATGCAGCTTTTCATACCAAAATATTTGAACTCATGTAGATAAAGTAACAGTAATAGTTCTACAACACATTTAAACTAAACTTTCCCCATGTAATAAATATTCTTTTTTCTTACTAAATGTATAATACCCACCACAATGTCATTTAATTATTAATTTTGACTATAAATGTTTATTCACATTTCACACAATGTGCAAAAAATAGTGTATCAGCAGGGTTGTGCTGAGCTGCAGTGCAGATTCTGATTAACAAATGTTGGTTTTGTACAAGTGAAAATAAATGACTTAGAGCTGCATGTTTACACAAAATTTTGCTTTAATCTCATATGTATAACACCACAGTGCTCATGGGAGCCTGGACACAGAACTGTTTACATTATTAGGTCATATTTACAAAAAATACAGTGTACAGTAGCTAGTATTATTTTTAGGAGTCTGCCCAGTCCTGTCGAAGTCCTCAGGTCTGAAGTGACAGCTGCAGATGACTGAGGAGTCACTCGGGACAAAGTCCTTTCTCCTCACTGCTGCTACCCATGCCCGTCTCCTATCTGTGTTTTTTGGGAAACTACACACAAAATAAGTGTGTCAGAAAAACGCAGTTCCACATAATTTGTAGTTACAATTCAGGCCACAAGTTAACTACTAATGTTATACTGCGTTATGTCACGTTGGTGCCATGAAACAGATAGTTGACAATTTGGAATAACACATACACCGACATAGCTGTTTGACAAAGCATCATAATTTTATAAGTAATATTATATAACGTTAAATGTTAACCTTTTTTCTTTAAGTTGGGTGACACAGCGTTAGCTTAATTTGGCATTAGGACCAGATCAGGACAGTTACTTTACTTGATTAGCTTAAAAGAAGGATCACTTTTTGAGATATATATCTCATTAAACATGTTCGTAACAGTAAAATATCGTAAAACAACTTCTTACCTGTGGATTGTTATTCCCTTCTTCTTGGTTTTAACACTTCTTTTTTTTGTACATCTAAATGCAGAGCAAAAATGTGGCATTTTTGCCGAGTCTGACATGGGTCTGAACTGGTCAGAGCACCTAGGCAAGATGGCGGCGGTATTGACGCATCCCACAAGCCAGGGTGCGGCATCTATGTATATATATCTATGGTATAAGACGGGTCTGCGTAGGAGCGCGCTCTACTATGTCTGTTGCTAACGTGCATGAAGTGCATGTCCGGGTATGTGAGTGGAGACAGTTCATCGGTATCTGATCCAGCCTCGGGCTGTCAAGTCATATGGATATATTTTGTTTATGAGTAGTTTGCAGTGTTACGAAGGTTACTTTTGAAATGTAATAGAGTACAAATTACTAGTTACCCTGTTAAAAATGTTATAGCCTAAGTAATGTAGATTAACTATACTGAATACAGTATACAGGATCAAAGTAATCGGATGAATAGTTTGACATTTTATGAAGATTTACCCTCTGCATCAGTTTTAACTATGATCCAAAAGTCTTAGCCCCTCATATGATACTATTCGAAATAGCTGAATATCTGAGATCTACTAAACTATACCGAAGAAACAAGAGACAAACACTAACCACAGGATGGATGACTCTTCCTCAAACACACATTGGCCCAAAAGCCCATATTTCCATGCACTGCTGGCAAACTGGGACACCTTTATTGGCAAACTTGTATTCAGATATAGGCTGATATAAACAACAACAATGATGATAATAAATATCACTTTTTTAAAAAAGAGGATTGTAGGTACAGCAGATTCACCATTCTCCCACGCACTCCGTCCCATCCGTGACCGCCATGTCTCAAGAGCACCTTAAGGGAATTTCTTCAAATGTGGCACAAATGTCCACTAGGATTCAGTGATAAACTGCTTAGAATTTAGTGATCAAAGATCAAAGGTCAAGGTCACTGTGACTTCACAAAACATGTTTTTTGCTATAACTCTAGAATTCATATGCTAATTATGGCAAAATTGTACACTAATGTCTAATGGGATATAATGATGAAGTGATGACTGTTTATATCCAAAAGGTCAAAGGTGAGCTTCACTCTGAGATCATGTACTGCAAAAACACAACTCAGGAACAGAAGGGGTTCAGTGGAGTCACGTTGGTGACAGTAATCAATACTGCGAATGTGGGGCGGGGCAGGCTTTTTTTCACTGGTTAGAGGGGGTTACAAGGGTTGGTTGTACCTCTTTCTTGTCGGGCCTCTCTTTCTTTGGAATTGGGATTACTGTGGCCGGAGACACTCTACTTATGTGGCAGCATCAGCAGGGAGACAGCCAAACAGAAACTTCTGGCCCAATTCAGGGAGACAGGGACAGGGAGCTCTGGCAACTCATGCTGTTGAGGTTCCTGTGGAACTTCTCCATGCTCCCATCCCATCTCCTAGCAAACCACCCATCATATCTTTGTTGTTTTAACCCTTGACTGAAAAATCCTTCCACCAGATTAGAAAACACACATTACATGATGCTAACTTATGTTTTCTTCTTTCTTTTTTTATCCAAATATGTGCATTTGTTTTCCCTGTTATCGGTCTCCAAACAGATCATGGCTCTGTCCAGCAGCTGCATTTCAGCCCCTCCTATCGCTGTTAGCTGGTACATGTAGCAGCAACTTGGTGGGGGGCGGCAGTGGCTCAGTCCATAGGGACTTGGGTTGGGAACCGGAGGGTCTCCGGCTCAAGTCCCCATCCGGACCAAGTGCGGAGCATGGACTGGTGGCTGGAGAGGTGCCAGCCCACCCCCTGGGCACCGTCGAGGTGCCCCCGAGCAAGGCACCGAACCCCCCAACTGCTCGGGGCGCCTGACCAAGGTAGCCCCCTCACTCTGACATCTCTCCACTTTGTGCATGTATAGGTCCTGTTTGTGCATGTGTGTGTATTTCGGACCTGTGTGTTAATGACAACGGAGTGAAAAAATTGAATTTCCCCTCAGGGGGATTAATAAAAGTATATAAATAAGTAAATAATAAAATAATGTATTTTGATATCAATAACTAAGCAAACTTTAAAATGTTAATGATATTTAATAATATTCAGGAGGGCTAACATTACATAATGTTTCCTTTTATTGTCAGGAGGTGGTGCTAATCGCCACATAATTAAATCAGGACTGCCATCACTTACTGGTACATGTTTACTTTGTCAATGACCTAAGTAAGCATTTGCTCTTTGTTTAGCTAATGTCAGCCAGCTATATCTCCACTGATTAGCCCTACATTAATTTGGAGCGTCAGTAAGCAGTAATCAGGGGCATAAATATAGACAGTGCAGGCACTGCAGTTGCACTGGGGCCCATGAGGTGGGGGGCCCATAGAGAGAGAGGGCCCTCCAGCAATGCACTGGATGAAGAATAGGCCCTTATGAGTGATTGCCACCTAGAAAATATGCCTGTTTTCAAAGAAGAACTCTAATTAAATTAAAACAGTGCTATTATATATATGCCCTTGAAAAAGGCAAACCCATCTTTTCACCTGTTTTAGCTTCTCTGCACTGGCTCCCTGTAAAATCCAGAATTGAATTTAAAGTCCTACTGTTAACTTATAAAGCTCTAAATGGTCAGGCTCCGTCATATCTTACAGAGCTCATAGTGCCATATTATCCCACTAGGACGCTGCGCTCTGAGAATGCAGGGTTACTTGTGGTCCCTAAATTCTCCAAAAGTAGATCAGGAGGCAGAGCCTTCAGCTATCAGGCTCCTCTCCTGTGGAATCATCTTACTGTTGCGGTACGGGAGGCAGACACTAGGTGGGTTTCCATCCACCTATTTTTATTCGCATTTTCAACAATTGCGAACAAAAACTTGAATGGAAACCCCAGAAATTCGACAGAAATATCTGTCTGTCTGTTTTTGAAATATCGCAAAAAAGTTTTTACGCTTGGAGGGGGTGGAAAAGTCAGCGTATCGATATTAGGAAAATGCGACTTTTGGCAATGGAAACAGATTTAGCGAATAAACAATGACGTAGTCTACCGAATCCTACTTCTACTTCACACACACACACCTGTGTGAACTGACTCCAGTGTCAGGTGAGTGTAGGCTATTTCACAACTTACCTGAATAGACTGGATGTGTTGAATACCGCTGCATCATGTGCGCTGCCTGGTGTACCAACACAGACATCATGGCATTATGTAGGCTACGCTGATATGAGTGTGATGAGAGCTCTCGCAATAGCCAAGAAGTTCCCAAGGAATCTCTCCATCTCGTTGTAGTCATGGATGTGCCGGTAATTGTTTACATCAGTTGTGGACATGAGACGCTCTCAATGACGTCATCTCATGGCGCCCTCTTCTTCTACGGGTGCTCTTTTGCATTTTATTTTTCATGAGAAGCGCCACCTTCTGCTCGACCTGTTGACTTCCAATACTCGCAAAACAATAATGAATGGAAATGTGCATAAATTGGCATTTTCTTTTGCGCATTTTCACAAAATTCGCTTAAAATTTGGATTTACATTTTACATTTGGATGGAAACCCAGCTACTGTCTCCACATTTATGACTAGACTTAAGACTTTCCTCTTTGATATAGTTAGGGCCGGCTCAGGCTTGCCTTGCACCAGCCCCTAGTTCGGCTGACTTAGGCCTAGTCTGCCGGGGGACCTCCCTATAATACACCGGGCACCTTCTCTCCTTCTCTCTCTCTCTCCCTGTCTCTCTGTCTCTGTCTGTCTGTCTG